CGAGGGAACTGCCTCGTTGGAAGACAACAGTCTGGTGATCCTGAAGCATGCCAAAAAGGTTCTCGGGATTTCAGCGCCGTCTTACCCGGAATAGTGCCAGAGCTCCGTTGCTGGGGACTTCAACACCGCGAATCAAAATAACTGATGCACCCGAATAATCTGGAATCTTTTCGAAACACCATTTCTGGTACGCTGATCATGGAAATCCGTGAAACTCTTGCATCTTTTGAAAACGAATGAGTACGGCGCTCAGGCGAGAGCCACATTTTGAAAAGGACCCGCCGTCAATCCGTGAAACTCTGGCAAAAGTTTAAACGAATGGGCGCGGCGCTAAGGCGAGAGCCACATATTGAAAACGGCCCGCCCTTAATCCGGGAAGCTCTGGCAAATGTTGAAAACGAATGTGCGCAGCGCTAAGGCGAGAGCCACATTTTGAAAACGTCCCGCCCTCAATCGTGAAACTCTTGCGACATGTGAAAACGAATGTGCGCGGCGATGAGTCAAGAGCCACATTTTGAAGACGTCCAGTCCTCATTCCGCGAAGTCCTTGCAAAGTGTTAAGCGAATGTGCACAGCGCTAAGGCGAGAGCCACATTTTGAAAGCGGCCCGCCATCCATTTGTGCAATTGTTGTCCTGTTTTAGGCTCCAGAGGAATGGAGGAGGAGGAGGAGGAGGAACCAGGGGGAGGAGGAGGATGAACCAGGGGGAGGATGAGGAGGAGGACGAGGAGGAGGAGGAGGAGGAGGAGGAGGAGGAACCAGGGGGGAGGAGGAGGAGAGAGGAGGATGAGGAGGATGAGGAGGAGTGGGAGGAGGAGGAGGAGGGAGGAGGAGGAGGGAGGGAGGGAGGGAGGGTAGGGCGGACGGATGGATGGGTTGATGGAGGGAGGGAGGGAGGGAGGGAGGGGGAGGGAGGGGGAGGAGGAGGAGAGGAGGGGAGGGAGGAGGAGGAGGAGGAGGAGGGAGGAGGAGGAGAGGAGGAGGAAGGGAGGAGGAGGAGGGAGGAGGAGGAGGAAGAGGAGGAGGAGGAGAGAGGAATAGTTGCAGGTAGTAGTAGGATGTGGAGGAGGAGAAGGAGGAGAAGGAAGAGGAGGAGGAGGAAGAGGAGGCGGGGAGGAGGAGAAAGAGGAGGTTGAGGCAGGGAGGTGTTGGAGGAGGAGGAGGAGGAGGTGGAGCAGGGATGAGGAGGAGGAATAGAAGGAGGAAGAGGAGGAGGAGGAGGAGCAGCAGCAGCATGAGCAGGGAGGAGGACGGGATCGGACCCCGAAGGAGGCCTTTAGGCTCGAAGTTGACACCTTTCTTCCCCTCCATTTGTCGCTCCCCTCCATTAATTTTCGATCAAGAAGAGTAGGCTGAGGGTGAGGACGTGTGAGGATGAGAAGGGGTGAAAGGACCCCATCCACTGAATGCTTGCTCGTCTTCCTTCTCTTCCCTATCGCCTTCCCTTTCTCTTCCTTTGTCCTCTTCCTCCTCCTTCCCTCTCTCTCTTTCTCTCTTGATCGCTGGGGGGCGAATGCCCCCCTCTCCACCATTCCACATTATGAGTGCTCCTCTCCTCTCCCCCTGACTCCCTGACTCCGTCCAGAAGATAGCCTGTTCTCACCGTACATAGTTCTTTTACACCGGGCTTCAAAAGTTGTTATGTCCGATTGCGTGTTACGATCGGATCGTTTTCGGTGTTTCGCATTGCTGTTCACGCTGCATCCAGGGCCTCATTTTGGGATCGGCGCTGTGCTCCTGTCGTTCATAATAGCGCTCTCGCCACAGTGCGGGTCTTTTTTCTGGATCCGAGGTCTTTCTCATCGTTGTCGCTCCCCTCCTTTCCCCTCCTCCGCCTTCCCCTGGTCCTCCTCCTCCTCCTCCTCCTCCTCCTCCTCCTCCTCCTCCTCCTCCTCCTCCCCCTTCTCCTCCTCATCCTCCTCCCCATCCTCCTCCCGCTCATTCCACCCCACTTCCTGCTGCTGCTTTTCGTCCTCGTCATCCTTTCCCATCCTCGTTTTCCTCTTGCTCATCCGACACTTCCTCCTTCCATGTACGCAGCTCCCCCTTGCCGGTTGTGCATAACTCGCAGGATCTTATTGGGGAGTTGCAGGCCCCTTGTAACGTGCGTCCGCGGATAGGGGCAAATCAGCGCAATGGGAAGGGATGGGTGGGAGGGATAGCATGGCAGAGATGAGCGGACCTAGCTTGATACGACTGAACATACTCCTCTCTCTCTCGCACTCTCTCTCTCTCTCTCTTCCGTCCGTAGCCATTTTGGCTCAAGCCGCTCCGCGCGCGACGCCCCGTGATTCAAGCCAGCTTGCCATGTCCCTCCGGTTCTGTGCTGCTGGTCGCGCTCGCGTCGCTGGGGTATACTGGTTGCGCGCCCGCTGCGCGTGGTGTGATGCCGCATGTGCACTCGCTGGAATCCAGGCTACGTCGGGCTCAGCGGGCTCGAGATCTCGGATTCTTACGTCCTTGGCCAGGCCCTGATCGTCGGCTTCTGGAAGTTCCTGCTGCGCTGCATGCCTCCGCGAAGCAGGTCGTGAAGGCGCTTGAGCTGCACGTTGCTCACGATGCTCATAACGATGTCCCCCATCATCATGCCAGGCTGGCTACCATAGCGGCTCGGGGTCATCTGGGCGACCTGCAAGTTCGTGATACGACGCGTGTTCATCGTGCAGCTGGTCGGGCTAAGCACGAGATCAGCAAGCGTGTGCTCTCCGCCGTGCGTGGAGGTGGTGCTGGTCGTGACCCGCTTGTCGTTGGTGCTGCGGGGGCTCCGTCACGCTCTCCTCCCTCCGCCTCGGGTGGTGTTCGTGGTGAGGATCCTCTCGCCGCTTGTGACCCGTGGGCTGCTGCTCTTCGATGTCCTGGAGGCGCTCTTGAACGCGATGCGTGTTCGCCACCTGTGCTGGGCTGCGCCTCCGCCTTGCGTGGAGTTTGCCTGGGCACTGCACGCTGTGAGGACGACACTATGGAGACTGCCAGCTTTGTTTCGGCGTCTGGTCTTCGGGCTGATGCGGACGCCTACGTGCCCTCTGCCGCCGCCGAGTGCGCGCTGGGCTCTGGCTCTGCTGTGGGGCCACCTGCCTTCATGCTCGGCTTCGCCTTCGACCTGATCGCCGCTCAGAACAACACCATTGCGTTGCTGTGCACGGAGCTGGAGACGCTGAAGCTCCACAAAGCAGAGATTCTTGCGATGTTGGAGGTTGAGTGCGACAAAAAGTTCGTGCAACAAAAGCAGTGGGTCCAGGATGCCGTCGCGGAGTTCACCTCCACCGTGCGCGTCTGCATTACCGACTCCGTGGGCGAAGTTGTCAATGAAGCGCTCAAGCCGATCCGTGCGGGTGTTGCTCAGGTTCAAGATGCCGTGTCGGTGCCTCCTTCGCCCCGTCCTTTGTCTCCGTCGCCTTCTTTCGCCGCCGAGGTGCGTGGCGCTTATCCCAACATGCCTTCCGAATTCTTTCAGGCTGTGCAGGAGATTGTGGCTTCTTCTGGGGCTCGCCAGGCACCTATGGAGACATCCGTAGTCGAAGATAGTTCCGATGAGGACGTTGACGACGAGCTGTGCGAAGTGTGTAGGGGCTTGTTCCGTTTTATTGATATGTCCACTCCGCCGTGCCAGTGCCGGGGTGCTGTGGTGGACTTCTCTGGTGTGCCTGAGCCGGTGTGGGAGTGATCGTCGCGGTGGCCGTCGGCGTCCCTGGTATCGCGTTTATTTATTTGGTTGGCTGTGCCATTGTCGTTGTGTCCCTCCTGTGGGGGGGTGCGGATCGTTAGCGTTCAAGAGGTGTGCTGACAGACTTCGGCCGATCCTACTCTGGTCTCTCTCTCTCTCTCTCTCTTCCGAGAGGCCATCCTTTCCCCTCCTCCGCCTTCCCCTGCTCCTGCTGCTCCTCCCGCTCCCTCTGCACCAATTTCCTGCGGCTGCTGTTCGTCATCGTCCTCCTCCTTCCTCATCCTCCTTTTCATCCTGCTCATCCTCCGTCTCATCCGCCACCTCCTTCTATGTACGCAGCTCCCCCTTTTCCAATTGCGCATGTCACGACGTGGCCTTTTATCCGCTATGAGATGCGTCTGCAGACTGAGAAAAATCAGCGCAATGGGCAGGGATGGGTGTGAGGGGTTGGGTGACAGATCTGGTGCGAGCTCACCTGGGTTGGCCTCCCCCCCTCCCTCTCCTCCTCCCCCTTCAAACCTCCTCTTCCTGCTGGTCCTTTACCTTTCTATCCTCCTCGTTATCTTCCTCCTCCTTTTTCCTCCTCGTCCGACTGGTCCTGCTCCCCCCCCCTCCCCCCTTCCTTCCCTTCTTCTTCCAGTCACTCCTTCTCCCACGCCCCCTCTTTCTATTTTGTCCGCCTCCTCACGCTCCTCCCCGCCCCATCGTCTCCTCACAGTCCACATCTTCCGAACAGGCGGCTACAGCATCGGGGGCACCCTGAACCCCAATGCCGGCCACTCGGCAGCCCCAGGTCGGGCAGGCCCGCGAAGCCTGGCAGGGCGCCCGCTCGGATCGGCATAGACCGTCGCCTGGTCGACTCGCGGATGGCGATCCCCACTCACCGCCTGGAGGAGGACCAGGATGGGAAGGAGGGACGAGGAAGCAGGGCGATGAAGATGATGATGCTGCTGATGATGGTGATGACGATGCTGCTCATGATGATGATGATGATGATGATGATGATGATGATGATGATGATGATGATGATGATGATGATGATGATGATGATGATGATGATGATGATGATGATGCTGACTATTAGTATGATGATGCTGAGGCTGAGGATGATGCTGATGATGATGATGGTGATGATGAGGATGAGGATGATTATGAGGATGAGGATAGGATGAGGATGAGGAGGAGGAGGAGGAGGCGAACACAGGATGAATGAGCAGCAGCAGGAGAAAGCCGACGGCTGCAGAGGGCCCCCTACGGCCGATTGGCGAGTGCCTGGTAGTGTCTCCGTTTGTTTCTTATGTGGTTTGTGTTTGTTCTGTGCACCGGCATTGTCTTAGCACTGTCAGCATCTGCTTTTCTTCAGGAGGGGAAAAAACACAGACACAATTAATCGTCGATTCTCCAGAAAATATCGGAAAATACGGGAAGTTGGGGGGAAGACGAAAAGCCAGAAAATATGCGAAAGCATAACGAAGTTTGCGCAGTATCAATCGGAGCCGAGGCTTCTTTGAGGGCCGGCGGGTGGGCGCAACAAAGTAGAACCACCGAGTTCGGCCATGAAAGTGTGGTTTTCCAAACCCCCCCCTAAGGAAGCTTAAGGGGGGGTTTCGCCATGAGCACTCCAATACGAGATTGTATATAGTACGCCAGGGTGAGCTAGGCACAGTGGAGGTAAAGATTTGTAATGCCCCCGGCCTCGGGCACGAGGGCCGGTGCCTCGGGAATTCAAGGGGGTACAGCGCCTCGGGAATTCAAGGGGGTACAGTGCTTTGCTTGAGCCCCAGCCCTTGAGCCAACCCAGAGACGCAGTCTGCTTCAATTTTCCCTTTCCGCCTACGTGGCCATGTTGGCTCGAGGCCAAATGCTTACTCACAGATTTGCGACTTCTCTTCCTCGACTGTGCCGTCCTGCGATCCCCTGTATCAGGTTGGGTTGCGGCAGCCATGGCGGCGTCCTTGGCAGAGACGGCACTCCCGAGTCAGGAGGAGATCAACACGCTTGGGCTGGCCACGGCAGTGGGGCCCATCGCCACCTGGGCCGGCCTCGCGGAGGAGCCCTTGGCGCAGTTGTCCGAGGTCTTGGGGTTCAGCTCTGTGCAGGACTTCAAGCAGGCGCCGCCGCGCCTGCTGGCGGCGTCCCCGCCGGAGGCATTCGAGGAGGCGCTCAAGGAGTGGATGGGCGCCTCATTCCTCTCCAAGGCTGGCGCGCGCCTCCTCTACAAGGTAGCGGTGGCGCTGTGCACGGCCAAGGTCTCTTCGGAGGCCAGGCCGGCCGAGGGGGCGGCGACCACCAATGCGAAGAAGAAGCTGAAGCTCGCGCACCTCATCGACAGCACGGACGACACGGAGATCAACGCGCCCGACACGGACCAGGTGACACGGTGGTTCGAGAACTACGCCGAGATCAAGCACGGGGAGCCGCTCGAGCACCACGAGCCGACCCCGGACCATATCGCAGCGCTCCACACCCGCGTTGTGGAGCTGAAGGCGGAGCCGTACGCGGACTTCTCGCTGCTCACGCCTTACGGCCGCCGCATGGCCAAGATCCTCCGCCACCGGAGCTGGTTCCTCCAGGAGGACGGCTCCTACAAAGCCATGGAGGTACCAGGGCCCGCGAGCTTCGAGGTCTGGGAGAAGTGCTTCGACGTCTACGAGGTCATCCTCCTCATGCTCCGCTTTCCGCCGGCTGCGGAGGGCGACGGCCGCCCGGAGGTCGTGGTTACGCCAATCGCGATCGACGCTTACCGGGAGGCCTTCAAGCAGCTGTGCGAGGAGCACCCGGAGTGTTGGCACCTTTGCCAGCGCGCCGAGGACCGCTGCCGGGCGGAGCACTTCGCCAGGGTAGCGCGCAAGCTCCGGGACAAACACCGGCGCAAGCCTACTTGGAGCAAGGTCTTCCAGGAGGCTGCCTTGGACGACCGCTACTGGGACCGCGAAGTGCGGCGGCCGGCGCTGGGGTTTCTCGCCAGGAACAAGCGCCCCCAGACGGACGGCGACGACGCTACTTCAGCAGCGTCGCAGGAGCCCCCGGCGAAGAAGACGGTCTCCCAGAAGCGCCGGGAGAGGAAGCAGAAGCTGGTGGAGGTTGGGAGCGAGAGCAATCCAGCGAAGGGCAGCCGCAAGGGCGAGACACACCCCAGGAAGGACAAGCAGGGCCGGTTCATTACGACGCGGGAGGGGCAGGAGATCTGCTTCAAGTACGCGAACGGCCCCGACAAAGGCGGGTGCACGGCGCCATGCCCGTCCAGGCGGGCTCATGTCTGCCAATGGTGCCTCCAGCCGCATTCCAACGGCAGCTGCACCATCAAGAAAACGACTTGACTAGCCAGCCCCTGGGGCCAGGGGATCCACGAGGCCAAGGGGCAGGGGAACCTGGGGGTCAAGGACGAGGAGGAGGAGGAGCACGAGGAGGAGAACTGCGAGGTCAGGGACTTCGAGGTCGCCGAAGCTGGGTGCGAGAGGAGCCAGGTCGTCACCGACAGCGCTGCCCTACGCGCGGGGCAGACCGGGGCTGCCCGACGCCCTCCGGATGGCGTGGCGCTTCCAGAACCGAGGGCTGCCAGGGAGGCTGCAAACAATGCGGCCCTTGGTGGGCTCCGAAACCCCAACCGGGCAGTCGCCAGATCTGTCGGGCTCAGGCGGACGGGCGCCCGGGTCCGGAAGGTCCTCGACGAGGTGCTCGACCGCTCATCGTTCAAGGAGAGTGTCGTCTCGGTCATCGACCAGATGGGCACGGACCAGTGCAATGGCTTCAGCCAAGAGGCCGTGGAGTTCACCCAGGAGGCGCTCCGGAAAGAGTTCGGGGCTTCGCGTTCGGACCCCGGCACCGTTTTCGACCACCAGCTATGGAAGTCACTTTTGGACGCGGCGGGAGATCCAGAGACAGAAGTTCCGGGCTGGCTCCGGCACGGTTGCCCGACCGGCATTGGGGAGTCGGAGGTTCGCACGTGCGGCATCTTCCCGCCGGTGGACCATGCCAGCGCAGCCATAGAGAAGGCCAGACAGTTCGCTGCCCTCCGGGCCGCGCAGGAGTGGAGGCACGACCTCCACAAGAGCTACGCCAGCTTCTACACCGACGGCGGCGCTCTGGCGGAGCAGGAGGTCCAGCGCATCGAGCAGCGCGGCTACATCGAGATCATCCGCGACTGGGACGAGGTACGCAGCAGATGGCCCGATGCGACGGCGAGCAAAGTTGCGCTCCTCGTCAAGACGCGGGAGGACGGTTCGACGAAAGCCCGCATCATCATCGACCTACTGCGCTCGGGGGTCAACGGGGGAGTCGCCCTCCCAGAGCGCGTGGTCCTACCCCGCTTGTCGGACCTCACGGCCGCGGTTCTCGACCTCATGGAGATCGACGTCAGGGCCGACTGGCACCCGGACGAGGATTGGTACGAGCTGTGCACGGTGGACTTCGAGGACGCCTTCCACACCCTATCGCTCCGAGCAGCCGACCGGGGGAAGATGGTCTTCAAGACGGCGGCTGGCTGGGCAGTCTTCCGCCGCCTGTGCTGCGGGATGGCTTCGGCCCCCTTGGTTTGGGGCAGAGTCGGCGCCGCTGCGTGCAGGCTGGGCCAGGCGATGTTCCAACCGCACGAGCTCAGAATCCAGTGCTTTGTGGACGACCCCGCGATCTGCACTCGCGGCCCCCCGCACCAGCGGAAGCGGCTCTTGGGTGCGCTCCTCCTGTTCTGGGCCGCGCTTGGTTTCAGGCTCAACTGGAAGAAGGCCATTCGCGGGCAGACCGTGCCCTGGATCGGGGCACAGCTGGAGCTCCAGCGCCGGTGGTGTCGGAAGTGCCGCCGGCACGCGTGGGGCATCCAGGTCACGCTGGCTCCGAAAAAGTGCCGGGAGATCGTCGAGGCCGTCGACGCGATCCACCGCTCGACGGGCGTTGTCCACGTCAAGGAGGTTCGCAAGATCGCCGGCCAGCTCTCGTGGGCCAGCGGTCTACTTCCTTGGCTTCGCGGGTTCAACGCCTGCCTGTGGGCGGCGTTGGCGGCGCACGACCAGGAGCAGAACGCGCAGGCCTTGAGATTCTCGGCCAAGAAGCGGCCCGGCCAGCTCTTCTTCTTGCTGCGAATCCAGCAGGCGATCACCTGGATCCGCTTGCTGTTTGCCGGGCTCATCCGGGACCGCGAGGGCAAGGCGATCACAGTCCAAAGATGGACAAATGCGACAACCCGCCTAGCCGACCTGTCGGCGTGCATCCGCACCGACGCGTCCCCGTGCGGGTTCGGCGCGATCTTCTTCGTCGATGGGGCGCCGCGCGCCTGGATCGCCGAGGAGTGGGCGGACGCGGACCTCGAGCTGCTCCACGCGACCCGCGGGGACCCAGCGTGGCAGGCCGAGTGGGAGTTGCTCGCGCTCCTGGTTGCCGTGGATTGCTGGCTGCCGCGCCTCAAGGACGAGGCGCTCGCGCTGCTCCAGACGGACGCCACCGCGGCCCTCTTCAGCGCAGCCAGGCTGGCCGGGAGAACGCCGCTCATGAATGCTCTCGCGGCGGAGTTGGCGCTGCGGTTCGAGTGCGCGAATGTCCACGTCAGCCTGGAGCACGTTGCGGGCACGCTGAACTTCGAGTGCGACGCGCTGAGCCGGATTTCGCAGGGCGCGGCGATTCCGCGCTCGCTCAGGTCGGCCAGGCGCGACAGTGCGCGGCAGCGCTCGCCCTCGTTCTTTTGGGCATGGCCGCGAACGCTACTGACCGGCCGCTCACAGGCCCATGCAGGTGCATGTGGGCCGGCCGCCTTCGGCAAGGGGGGGCGGACTTCGCAGCCCTCGGGCCGGCGCGGAGGGCGGCCGTACTGAAGGGCAAGGCCAATGGCAAAGGCCAGCGACCGGGGGAAACCGCCCGTGCACCGCAGAGGCCGAAAGCGAGCACGTCGCGAGCATCGGTGAGCGCAGGCGCGGATGCCTCGGCAGGAGGCGCAACGTCGCCCGCCGGGGCTGCGTTGCACGCGTCGGCGATGGCCGGCCTTGCAGTCGCCCCGGGGGGGAGGGAGGAGGGGTCAGCCCATCTCCAAGCTGCGTCGCGCGCGTCGGCGAGGGCTGACCGCGCGGCCGCTACGGGGGCCGGGGCTGGCGCCCGCTCGGCTGCCCATGCTGCGTCGCTGGCGTCGGCGATGGCTGGCCCCGCGGCCGCCTCGGGCGCCGCTCCTGCACAGCTTCCGGCTGCGTCGCGCGCGTCGGCGAGGGCTGACCGCGCGGCCGCTTCAGGAGGCGGGGCGGGCGTTGGCTCGGCCGCCCGCGCTGCGTCGCAGGCGTCGGCAAGGGTCGGCTCTGCGGCCGCGTCGGGCGCGGAGCTTGTGCCTCGTAAGAGCAGGAAGGATTTCCCAGACGTCAGGGCGACAAAACGCCCCTGCAGAGCAGAGGTGCTCACGGCCATCTCCACGATCAAGGGGAAGGAGGGGGTCCTCGCCAGGCTCCTGCAGGACACTTCAGCGGCCAGCAGCAAGCTCACCGCCGACTCGCTGTGGGCAACCTGGTCGGTGTTCCACCAGGCTTGGTTTGGCGAAGCGACGCCGGCCCTCCCGCTGAGCGCGGAGACGGTCTACGCTGTCGCCGCTTGCTTCAAGCAGGGGGGCTACCGGGGGTTCCCTGCGTACATGGCCAAGGCTAAGGAGGCCCACACCCTCGCCGGCTGGCCGTGGGATGAGCAGCTGGACCTTGCTCGGCGGAAGGCCACGGCATCGGTCCTCCGGGGCTTGGGCGTTGCGAGACAGTCCGCGCCCTTCGACCTCAACGCAGCGGTCAAGGCGGTGCGCGAGGGCAGCGTCCACCTGGGGCCGCTCGCGCCCGTGGGATGGGTGAACTTCCTCATCGTCGCCTCCATTTTTGTCATGCGGGAGATCGAGGCGGCGTTTGCCAAGGTCGGCCACGTGACCCTCAACAGGGCCGAGCGCAAGGTCAGCCTCAGGCTCCCAGTCTCCAAAAGGGACCCGCGGGCCGTCGGCTGCACGAGAACATGGGGTTGCACGTGCGCGAGCCCGCTGTCTCGTGAATTGTGCCCGTATTGCGCGGCAGATGAGCAGTTGGGCATGCTCCGGGACATGTTCGGCCCGAGCTTCGATGACGACTTGCCGCTCTTCCCAACCCGCACTGGCGGGGTCTGCCTGAAGGCCAACATCGTGGCGGCGCTCGAGGCCACCGTTGCGGCTTACGGAGGCGCTCCGTTCCACCCGAGTGGCGCGAAGGCTTTGGGAGGGCATTCTTTCAGAGTCACGGGAGCCCAGAGGTTGGCCATCGCAGGGTTGGAGGTGCACAAGATCATGCTGCATGCGCGGTGGGCCGGCGACACCGTTCTCCGCTATATCCGCGAGGCGCCCTTGGAGAATCTCCCAGCGGAGGTGATCGCTCTCGAGGAGAAGCGCTCGCTCATCGAGTCCCTCACCAAGGCGCAGGACGACGTGATCAAGGTTGGCGACCAGGTGGCTGCCCAGAAGCAGGACGTCGCGGACGCGCTGGCCGCCCTGCAGGAGCGGCTCGCCAAACTCGACGCCGGCTCCGCCAAGCCATACGTCAGCGGCGGAGGCTCGAGGAGGTTCCGGGTCCACGAGGTCGCAGTGGAGGGGCTCGACGTCCCCCCGCAGCTGTGGAGGACCAAATGCGGCGTCAGGTTCGCCCACTGGTGCTTCACGAAGCACGCCTCCCTGGAGACCTTTCCGGGGGACGCTCGGTGCCGAAGCTGTTTCCGGAGGCGTCCGTCCGCACCGAGCTCGTCGGCTTCGAGTCCCTCATCGTGTTCGGAAGGCTCCACGTCTTGAGGCCAGGTGGGGAGGTGCGAGTGTGGCGGCGACGGCTGCCCTCTCGCCACCCGCCGCCGCGGCCTCAAGCACGCGAGACTGAGCGTGCAACCACCCAGCATCTGGAGACAAAAAGGTTCTTGCCTGGGTGGTGGGAGGGATGTGCGTGAGAAGCTGCGCGGAGATTGATGCGAAAGCATAACGAAGTTTGCGCAGTATCAATCGGGGCCGAGGCTTCTTTGAGGGCCGGCGGGTGGGCGCAACAAAGTAGAACCACCGAGTTCGGCCATGAAAGTGTGGTTTTCCAAACCCCCCCCCTAAGGAAGCTTAAGGGGGGGGTTCGCCATGAGCACTCCAATACGAGATTGTATATAGTATGCCAGGGTGAGCTAGGCACAGTGGAGGTAAAGATTTGTAATGCCCCCGGCCTCGGGCACGAGGGCCGGCGCCTCGGGAATTCAAGGGGGCACAGCGCCTCGGGAATTCAAGGGGGCACAGTGCTTTGCTTGAGCCCCAGCCCTTGAGCCAACCCAGAGACGCAGTCTGCTTCAATTTTCCCTTTCCGCCTACGTGGCCATGTTGGCTCGAGGCCAAATGCTTACTCACAGATTTGCGCCCACCCACCCTCCCAGCAGGTTTCTTGCGGCGGCGACGGCTGCCCTAGGGGCCTCTGGGACAGGGTGTTAAGGGGGGAGGTGCGAGTGTGGCGGCGACGGCTGCCCTCTCGCCACCCGCCGCCGCGGCCTCAAGCACGCGAGACTGAGCGTGCAACCACCCAGCATCTGGAGACAAAAAGGTTCTTGCCTGGGTGGTGGGAGGGATGTGCGTGAGAAGCTGTGCGGAGATTGATAGGAAAAAATGGGACATCTTTTTATTTGTGTGTATTTATTTGTGTGTTCCAGGGCCCCTTCATTTCTGTCGATCCTGGGCGAGTCGACCGCGTTCTCTTGCCCGCCGTTTATGCGCACGTGACTTGCTGGGCTCATTCCGAGGTGTCTCCGAGAAAGCAGGAGGAGCAGGATCACAAGCAGAAGCAGGAGCAGAGGCAAGAGGGGGGAGGAGGATGACACTGTTGGATTTCGCAGCCATGGATGGTGGCCGGCCCCTACATCAACAGTGGTACGTTTGGGGCTCCATCGTGGGAGAAGTAACTTCTGAAGCGACCTGGCGGGTTCTTCCGAGATGCGACACAAGTGTATAGTCTTTCGCAAGATGGGTGGGTAGCCCGGTGAGAGAAGAGTGAAAGCGACAGTGGGAGCAGCGAGCTACCAAATTGAGTTGACGCAGGCAGATGCCAAAAAGTGATATGTTTGTGTGAATAATCCATCTGCCTACCGATACTGGACGGTTACCTGGCAAATAGGAGTAATAACGAATAGTGAGACCAGAGGCAGCGACAGTAATAAGACTTGACGACATAACAGTTGAAGCCTTCACCATAGCTCCCCACGAAGTTGCGGGCTGGCGAGTCCCAGCCGCCCACTCCATACCAGAGATATCTCCAGATAACAGGTATTACTTCAATGCCATTCTCTGTTTTGCTCGTATGGGCGAAGATGGATCGGAACAATTGCCATCATATTTGCTCTGGGCGGACACGGGACACAATTGTTCGGACAAAATGTATCGCGACCATGCCAAACATTTCGCGCAATGGAAACTAAAAATGGTTGCGGTGGTGGCTCTCTCCAAAAAGGGTGGGTCAAGCGTTCCATTCTGACTGTTCTTTTAGTCTCGCGACATTTTGTCGGAGGGGGTAGAACGTCAGCGAATTTCTCCTTACAGTGTGTTTTGGTGCAGGTTCGCGTCTTGGTTCGATCTGCTATCGGCTGCACCAGGTTGATGCCACGAGCTCCGAAGCTGCCCGCGAGATCTGCTTGCCGCCTCGATGCGCCCCCCTCGGGCAGGGGAAGCGATTACAAGGAGCAGCGTGGTGGACACGTCGTGCGGGGTGCGCAGCAAGCGCGACACACAGAAATTCATGTTCGAACGCTTCCGCTCTCCCGCCTGGTGCCTGACCGCGTTGGCACTTTAGCGCCCGTGGACTTGGAAGTTCGGAGAAAAACACTCGTTGTGGACGGGGGCAGAAGCAATATATCCGCTACATTAATATATATATATATATATATATATATATATATATGTATATATATGAGAGAGAGAAGCATGGGCGCCCTCGAGGACGCGAAGTGATTCGCGGTTCGTGGTTCGGCCCCGCCTCTTCCTTGTCTTCCCTTTCTCTCCTCCCTGGGGGGGCGGCGGCGCGATAGCACGCATGCATTCGCGCTTCGCGCGCGCAGCGCGAACTGAGCTGCCTCCGTGAACTTGCTAGTTTGCAGTTGGGCCTGTCCCTCTACAGGAGGATTATTTAAAAGTAGTCAGAAAATAGTCGGGGGACGATGTTTTGAGTATTTTTTAACAATTTTGGAATAATTTTGAGGTATGTTAAATTTTTCGCCTAAAATTGGCCTGTAGGGCCCGACTTAATACTCGTTTAGGTCCTTTCCTTCGGTGGCCACGCGTGAGCCCTACCCCCACCCCCTACGATTTCCAAGGGGGGGTCGGGGTTCACTCTGCTCGGGGGGGGCGCGGTCACTCCCCTCGGGAGCCCCCCGGCGGATTGAACCCCCTTCCCTCAGAAATCGCGGGGGCAGTAGGGGGTTAGGGCTCACATGTGCACCTGCTCCCGTCACTCAGCGAGCTTCCGGCTTCCACCGGTCGGCGTCTTCCTTAAGATCGCCTTGCAGTGCCACGATCTCTTTAAGGCCCCGGTCTCCTGCTCCGTGCCTCCGTCCCTCCGCCCGCCCTGTGCGCCTGCGATGCGTGTTCGTATCGCCGGCCACCTGGGCCAGGGGCGACTTGTTGGCGCAAGTGTCTCCGTGCCTTCCGCGTGCGCTTCTACACGCGTGTCCGGGCCGCTTCCGGTCTAGGGCCTCCAGTTCCTCCCTCCTGTTCTTTTTTCCCAACCATCCTGTGGTGTTGGGTCCTCATTTTGAAGAGACGGAGCCCCGCGTCTCCTTCTCCTCCCGCTGCCCCTTCCCTCCTCCCTCCTGCCCCTCCTTGCCTCTGCTCTCGGCACACCCCTCACACGTTTCGTAGCCCCATAGGGAGCTCCACCGAAGGTCCCAGTGGCACAGCCCGCATGCGGTTCCCCCACGCAGTACAGCGTTTCGTGGCCCCATAGGGAGCTCCACCGAAGGTCCCAGTGGCGCAGTTCGCATGCGTCCCCCCCACGCAGTACAGCGTTTCGTGGCCCCATACGGGGCTCCCCCGAATGCGATACCCACAAATGCATATGGTTGGGTCCTTCGCCAGGCTAATTATTTGTTTCTTTCTCTCTCTCTCTCTCTCCCTCTTTTCCTCTCTCGCTCTCTCTGCTTCCTGCTTCGCCTCGCTCTGGGGCCGGGGGTGGGGAATGCCCCGCCCGCGGACCGCGCCCCCCTCCTTCGGTCTACCTGAGCGCCCTCGCTTGCACGCCCCGCGATCCACAGAGGCATGCCTGATCTTGGTCGCCAGGCGATGAGAAGGAGCAGGAGGAAGAGGAGGAGGAGGAGGAGGAGGAGGAGGAGGAGGACGAGGAGGAGGAGGAGGAGGAGGCAGAGGAGGAGCAGGAGGAACAGGAGGAGAAAAAAGGGGACAGGGGTGATCTCCGCCTCGCAGCTCGCCTGGGAGAAAGAGCACGATGATGATGATGATGATGATGATGATGATGATGATGATGATGATGATGAGGAGGAGGAGGAGGAGGAGGAGGAGGAGGAGGAGGACGAGGAGGAGGAGGAGGAGGAGGAGGAGGAGGAGGAGGGCTCGGGAGGACGGGTGGCGGAGGACAGTACGAGGAGGAAGATGAGTACGAGGACCGGCGGAAGGAGCGGTGCGAATGCTGGCGAGGAGGGCGACGGCGGCGACGACGACGACGACGACGACGACGACGACGACGACGACGACGACGAGTCGCCCTGAGCCGAAGAAGGAAAAACTACATAAACATAAACTTTTGGCGCTCCGCGCGGATTTTTTGGATCCGCGCCTGGGCCCCCCGGTGGCGCTTCTGGCGCTGCCCCCGGCGCGCTCCGTGCGCCAGGGAGGGGGGTCCAGCGCGAATCCAAGAAATCCGCGCGGAGCGCCAAAAGCTTATGTGTATATGGCTTTTTCTTCTTCTACTGAGGCCGCCACCACCCTCTCGGGCCGCAGAGGGGTACGAGGAGGAAGAGGAGGAGGAGGAGGAGGAGGAGCAGGAGGAGGAGAAGGAGGAGGAGGAGGAGGAGCACGAAGACCGGCGGAGGGAGCGGTGCAAATGCTGACGGCGGATACGACGACGACGACGACGACGACGACGACGACGACGACGAAGACGACGACGACGACGACGAGTCGCCCTGAGGCCGCCGCCACCCTCTCGGGCCGCTTGAACCAATGAGTCGCATCGGGGCCAGTGGGCGGCAGAGCGGGCCTCTGGCGAGGGCCTCCCGGGCGAGGGGCCGGCGGACGACGAGCATCCCGCGCGCTCGATGCACTCCTCCCCCGTCCCGTTCCCCCTCTCCTCCTCCTCCTCCTCCTCCTCCTCCTCCTCCTCCTCCTCCTCCTCCTCCTTCTCCTCCTCCCTCCACCTCCTCCTCCTCCTCCTCCTCCTCCCTCCCCTCGTCCTCTTGTCTGCTCCTCCTCGTCCTCGTCCTCTCTCCTCCTCCTCCTCCTCTCCTCCTCCTCCTCCTTCTCCCCTTCCTCCTCCTCTCGTCTTCTCCTCCTCGTCCTCCTCCTCCTCTTCTCCTCCTGCTCCTCTCCTCTTCCTCCTTTCTCTCACCTCTTCCTCTCTCTCCAGCTCCTCCTCCTCCTCCTCCTCCTCCTCCTCCTCCTCCTCCTCCTCCTCCTCCTCTCTTGACGAGGATGGTGGTGGTGGCGATGTCGATGGCGATGACAATGAAGTTCCCCTCCTCCTCTCCTCCTCCTCCTCCTCCACCTCTCGTCTGCTCCTCCACCTCCTCCTCATCCTCCTCCTCCTCCTCCTCCTCCTCCTCCTCATCTTACTTCTTATCTTCTCATCCTCCTCCTCAGGTTCCTCCTCGTCCTCCTCTTTGCGTGCGGCGCGGCTGCCGAAGCCGACAACCGGGAGCCCCTCAAAGTTTTCGCGCACCACCTGACCCATGCGTAGCATCGGACAGTGCCAGCGGCGTCAGCATTGCGGGGGGTCGCCGCCTCGTCCCGAGGATGGAGGGCCGAGGAGGTGAAGGAGGAGGAGGAGGAGGAGGAGGAGAAGTAGGAGGAGGAGGAGGAGGAGGAGGAAGATGAGGAGGAGAAGGACCAGGAAGAGGAGGAGGAGGAGGAGGAGGAGGAGCAGGAGGAGGAGGAGGATTGAGGCTCTTGACTTTGAGCGCTTTTGGCGTTTTGGGGCGTGGGCTGGGTCGGCGGGGGAGGTGGCGCCCCCCCCCCCAGTGATCCCGCTGCGCGGGGGAAGGCTGCCCTAGGCAGACCAACAAGGAAGCATTCCCCCCCCCTCCCACCCCGAGGATCGGGGCTCCAGGCTTCCTTCGAGGGCGAAGTCCTGACCCAGGCCTCGATCGCTCCCCTTCTCCCCTCCCCCTCCTCCTCCTCCTCCTCCTCCTCCTCCTCCTCCTCCTCCTCCTCCCCCTCCTCCTCCTCCTCCTCCTCCTCCTCCTCCTCCTCCTCCTCCTCCTCCTCCTCCTCCTCCTCCTCCTCCTCCTCTCGCCTCCTGGGGAGCCCATTTTTGCGCGGGACGCGTCTTGGACACGAACGTGCCGAAAAACACGTTTGCTTACGCTTGGGCGGCCCGCGGCCGGGGCGCGCCGTGCCGCACGGAGCTGGCCGCTATGATCGTGGCGCCTGTGTGGCCTTGCACGTGGACGCTCAAGGCGCGGAGCAAGCCCGGCGCAGCCAGGCCATGCCACTCGCGCTGATGCGCCCGTAGCTCTCAATCACGAAGGGCACGACGCCGGCGCCAGGGTACTTCGTCCGCTGCTCGTCTTCCGTGCGGCATGCAGCGGCGACGTCTCGAGAAGCCCGCTGCCGCTCCAGGGCCGGGTCCGTGCTCAGCACGTCGACGATGGCGGCGTCGAGGGAGAAGGTGGTAACTTGCCCTCCAGCTCGGCGGCGATGTCCAAAAGTGTGCCTCGGACATCGTGCCGTCCTGCCTGAGCTTGTTGAGGTGGGGGGCGCCGCTGCTGCCTGCGAGCAGGGGCGTGCAGGTCGGCGAGCCGGGCGTTCCCGAGTCGCTCTGCCACAGGCGTGTCTGCTCCCGCGCCCCCTTCTGCTCCCCGTGCTGTGGGAGCACATGCGGGGGCTCCGCGACTTTTTTTTTTTTTATTTTTTATTTTTTGTTTTCTTTTTTATTATTTTATTTTATTTTTTAAAACAACAAAAAACATGCGGGGGCTCCGCGACGGTGCCAGCTCCCAGCGCTCATCACATCGCTCAAGGTCCCGAGACTACCAGCCAAGAAGGCAGCATTCGGCGCGCACCTCCACCCCGCCAGCGCTGAGGCCGTCGCAACGCAATGGCAGGTGTAGCTGCACCCTGCGGTGGGCGTCGAAACCGCCGCTTCCGCTGAGCAGTCGAGCCCAGAACTGTTTGACTACAGCGTCGTAGGCCCAGGCTTGCTCGGGAGAGATGGTGGCATCGCGCAAGACGTGCTGCGGCTTCCGACTGGGCGGTCACGCGCGCCGGTGCCTGCGTCACCTGCTTGGGGAGTTTTCCCTCCGCGTGCAAGGGCCACGGCCCGTCGGGGCTGCCTCTGAGGGCGGCCGCGACCTCAGTGAAGGACCCGCTGGAGTCCCAAAGCCACAGCGTGTACGTCTGCCCGCTGGATCGCTCGACAACGTGCCCCAACACCTGGAGCGTCTCCACGCGGCACTGCTGGAGCCTCGCTCCTCGCCCCGGCCCCGGCTGGGACTCGTCGAGCGCAATTGCTGGACTCGGCCGAGGCCTGGCGAAAGGCTGCGAGGACCGCTGGGGAGGCGCGAGGCGGCGCACGTGACATACTATGTCCCTCCTCCTCCTCCTCTTCCTCCTCCTCCTCCTCCTGATTCTCCTCCTCCTCCTCCTCCTCCTTCTCCTCCTCCTCCTCCTCCTCCTCCTCCTCCTCCTGTCGTCGACGCGAGCCCAGAAGCGCACGCCACCGTCGAGGGCAGCGTATGGTAGGAGGGCGCGTGCTCGGCTGAGGACGCGCTTGAGGCCGACCACGAAGGCGAGCGGCGAGAAGTGGCGCCCGTGGTCCATGCCGGTCTGCTCGGTGATGGTCCGCACCTCCCCGTCGCCATCTTCCCACAGTTCAGTATCGTTTATCCGATTCCCGTCCCCATCCCCATCCCCTTCGAGACCCCCACCAAATTACCACCCCAGTTGGGGATACACCCCTGAACGGCCTATGTCCACATCTAGGGGGGTAAATCGGCCAGTGGGGCCCAGGCCACGCCCGTGGGGATAGGGATCGGATAAACGATGCTCAACGGCAAGGGCGTGTCCGTGCAGTGCAGGGTGGGCGCGAGGTTCGCCAGCTCCAGGAACGCAGTGACGACGTCGTCGACCATGACGCCACGGTTCATCGAGCCGAAATGGTTTTTGATGTCAAGGGGTGCTGCAACTCGTTCGCTGTCCTTGAGCACGTCTGCGGTGGGTGATCGACTCGACGGGCACCGACATGCCAATGGCGTATTGCTCCTCGCCCACATGTGCTGTTGCACGGGGGGTCAACACCTGGATCACCGCACGGAGTGCAATGCGGCGGAGCGCCTCGGTGATGACCAAGGGGCGGATGCCGCCGTCGCTCTTGCGGAGGATGAGCAAGCGCCCAGCTCGGCGCATCACTACACAAAGTCTGGCGCCTGGCCGCTGACTGGACGGCCGCGATGGCGAGGTGCTTTGCGTAGTCGGGGTCCGCCGAAGAGGATATCCAATACTCGAAGCGGCTGCCATCCAATGAAGGACCCGCCTTGCGGGGGAGCCGCTTGCAGTCCCGTTGCACTTGCTGGCCAACCGCCTCCCAGAAGTGTCCTTGTGCTCATCGACGTTGCCGATTTTGGGCTCGGGCCGGAGTACCTGCTCGGATAGGGATTTCCCCTTCATGTCGCCCAGCTCGTATCACCGAGCGCGTTCCACTATAATCGCAACATGCCTCCTCGCAGACGTCTCAACGAAAAAAACAGGTTCGCCTCTTTGTAATGGATCGTACAACTCCCGCGGCAGATCCAGGCCATTTGCGAGTAGTTACCTTGCGAGTAGTGGAGCGCGCTTGTCTATCGTAAGGGTCTGTGACGAGGAGGGCGGTGCCAACGGCAGCCTTCCACGCCTTGCTTCACTCGTTTGGCCGCGCCGAGTCTCGATGCGGGCGACCAGGCGTGTCGAGTCGTCATCCTCTGGGGGCTCACCGCTGGAGTTCGTCCTGCAGGCGATGTGCACCTCGTCCCATCAAACATAAAGATTTCCGGTCGCCCCGCCAGAAAAGCAGTAGACGATCCACGATTACTCGTCTGTGCCACGGTGTCGCGGTGACATCCTGGGGTCGCAGTTTGGAAGGTATGCAGGCGTACATGGGGCGGTCGAAGGGCATCAGGAGGCGCCAGCCCCGCTCGCGGGCCGCCCCATCTT